GGACTGTTCTCCTGTACTGGGACTGTAGCTCCTATTGTAATGGGCCCTTTCTCCTGTACTGGGACTGTAGAATGAACAAATATTGTTCAAGTATTGTGTCATGTATCGCGTCCCCTGTGTTGTGACAATGCCAATATTGAATTTGGATTTGAATTTGAGAGGGAGGGGCGGGTGGGAACACGCAGAGTGGGAGAGGGTGAGGTGAGTGGGAGAGGGTGATCTTTCATCTGCCGCCGAAGCGCGAACTTCCACGCTTCGCAGTTTGGCCACGCGCATATGGCAGAGGCTTGTGAAACTCAGCTCGAGAAAATAGGGGGCCGTTTGCTCTGGTTTATTCCTTAACACCTGCAGAGAACAGCGATCGATTGTCTGCCCCGGGGACATAGTGTTGCGTGTTAGTACGGGAAAGAAGGGAAATTCGACTATTTTGCCCGGTCTGTGGTCATTTTCCTAAGCAGATGCCCGATACCGACTCCATTCCTTCACTCTGTACCACAATTGTCCGCCCGCCTCGCGACCAAAAGTAGCCGTTTTCCCGAGTGGACGGGTGAGGCGCCGGTGTCGCTTCTGAGCCTGCGGTTCGGTCCCCTCACCGCCTCCCAGAGCGAGCTCGGATAGGTTAAACCGCAGTAACTCGAGACACATCGTCCTCCGCGGCCGGAGAGCTCCCGGGTGTGTCTCTGATTTCCAATTGGACCAGCGATGTGAACAGCCGACGGGACCAGTCGACTGTTCCAGCCGGTTCGCTTTGCTCCCCATCCAGGGCAGCGCGCGGTGTGGGAACGGCGGCGCCACTCTTTCTCGTGGGAAAAGAGCTGGGAGCTGTCTGTGACTGGGTTGACGAGGAGCCGAATCTCACACCGGGTCGACTTCGAACCCGGGTGAGAGAAGGACGCTCTCACGGCGTCACTGGCGCATTCCGCCCCAGTGACACCCCCCCACACGCACACATACACAAACAGACACGCATATTCACGGAGTTTGTCCTCACACCCCGTGAGCGCAGGGCCAAGTGTTGAGGCTCGCGCCTGTTGGTGAAGCGCGCGGGCTGCTCCTGGTCGGGGGGCCGGAAGGCATTGACGCCTCTCGTGCGTTTGGCACGCAGCTGTCGACTCGTGCTGCCTTGTGCCCGGCCTTGGCGCGCGGGGTCAGGAGTTCCCAGAGTCGCTTACGGGGGGCGCCTCTCCAAGCAGCGCAGCGATAAAGCAGGTTTCATCTCTACTTCACTTCAGGTGTTCAAAACCCTCAAAATCATCGACGAAGTCATCCCAGCGGGCTGACATCCAGCACCGAGCAAGTCTGAACCAGGGACGGCCGTTTCAAACCGAGAGCCGGAGGCGCTTCTTTGCACAAAGGGTGGTGGGGGTGTGGAGCGCGCTGTCCAGCCATGTTGAAGCCGGGACCCCGGCCT